TAAAACATGCAGGATTGCGGCCCTCGAGGACCGCAGTTCGACACCCCTGCTTTAGATCTTAATGTATTTGTAATGGAGCAACCATTTAAAACATTACAACTGCTTCAAACAGGACAATAAGTAAAGTCGAAGTCCATGAATTATTGTGCAGATATCATCATTCTAGAGAGAAATCATTCTTCTCTTCCATTGAATTCAGTGATGTTTTCATGCGGGGAGGCACTTCCACATTTGCTGTGGTGTTTCAGCACCGCTGTTCCCAGAGATCACCTGTCAGTCAGTGTCTTCGCAACTGTGAGGTCTTATTCTTCGGATTTTTCTCTGAAATTTTGGCTTTGCAGCTTGCGGCCTTCCTTCCAAATGCATCGGGAATGTAGAAAAATCCATTGCTTCCCTTTTACCTGACAGGCGCGCTGGAACTCAGGACGGAAACTCAAAGACGGACGGCCTGTGGGTTGAGCAACTATTATGCCATAAGGGATGAGTGATTACTTTAAATTATGCAAGCTCACTTACTTTGTGTTTGTTCTAAAGCACATCCAGACATGCGCCCACACAGTCACAATTTAGCACTGCGTTTAACTCGGCTCTGACAGCGAGGAAGCAGCCAGGGCAGACGTGACTCTGTCTGCTGCCCTGATTCTGCTCTATCATCTTATTTCCCCTGCTAGTCGTCACTTATTGGGGCTTCATAAAGACAGAATGAGCGAGATCTCAGCCAGGCAGTATTAACTGCTCGCCCGCCCTCCTCCGAGACAACCAAAGTCAACTCCATCGCCTGCTTTTCATTTCTACACTTTTCCCCTCTCTGTCCTTCTTTTCCTCTTGTTGCTTTTTTGTCTTATCTTTTCCTCCCTCGGCCCCTCTGTAACTGTCTCCCCCCTCCTCTCTGGAGAAACAGAGGAGTCTTATCACAGTTTAATCTCCAGCTGAGAGTCGGCGGTGTGGGGCCCGGGCCAATGTGACTTTGTCGTTTATTCTGTGTCGGGGCATCTTAGAGGACGGCCGAGTGTTTGTGTTGAGAGTGGTCGGGGTGATTGAATTGCCGGAATAGCCTCCAGGCGCAGGAAAGAGAGAGAGAGAGAGATGAAGAAAATAAAAAGAGAGGGAGAGTGATTTTTCACAACAAGCGCAATTCAAACATGGTAATCTGATGCCCTGAGATATTTGAACACATATCCAGACAGAGGGGCTGCAGGCAACGGGAGGTGGTGTCTGCTGTCTGTGCGAGTGTGCGCGACCTGTAGCTTTATCTTAGCGCTGCTGTGCTCTACCTACTGTGACAAGTGCTACAGCAGGGAAGCCAAATAATATGCAAGAGGCATATTAAAGAAGAGAAAGATGGGCAGAAGAGGGGGAGTGGGAAGAAACTCTTGCGAAAACTCTTCCTCTCTGTAGGGAAAGCGATTGGTAGAAGAAGAAGAGAAAGTGGGTAGAAACTATGACTTATTACAAATGCCACATCCATCTATTCGTCCTCAGCTTGAAACCTCACCATGCAGAGGAAAAAAAATAGGAGCAGGAGTCTGGAATGGTCCCACAGGTGGAGGAGAGAATGAAAAAAAAAAGAAGCACTTAGGATAATAAAGAGGGGTCAATCCCATTCAGAACAAAGACAAGGTGTCTGTGATATCCAGGTCAGAGTCTCTCCAGAGGTCTGAATCTCTCCTCTTTATGTTTTCGTAATGGACTTTTTAATTTGATTGATGGGTTGACTGTCAAATCCTCATGTTCCCGCAGGGAGGGCTCAATGCATTTTAAATGGTACGTTTTCCAATGGACAGTCTGAGGGATGTGTGGAGGGAGGGAGGACTTGATCTGTTTTTATGTCATTTACTATTGGAAACAGATATGAAGACAAAGAGATAAAGACATAAAAATGCCCCCTTTATTTATTTATTTATTTTTAGGTAAAATGCTTCTGTTGACCTCAATAAGTAGCCTTCAGTGTGAACTGTGGAAGTTTGCAGACTAATATGAGAGTCGGCATCTCCAAATCTCCAAGTCTAAGTCCACAGCTCCCTGTCAGAAACTCATGGACTGTTCCACCTGGGTTGGGGGTGAGTTGCTGGCCCAAGCGATGGAGTGAAGTATTTCGGGATCTCGTCCATGATTGATGGAAAAATGGAGTGTGAGATGGACAGCAGAGTGCAGCGGTGTATTGAGAACCGAGCTGGGAGGTAAAAGTCTCGAATTATGGTTGGTCAAAGTTCCAACCGTCCCCTTTGGTCCTGAACTCTATCTAAAGAAAGAGCAAGGTCACAGACCCAAGCCACCAAAATTGGTTCCTTCTGTAGGGTGGTTGGACTCAGCTTTAAGGATAGGGTGAAGAACCTGGACATCTAGAAGGGGGCCTGAAGTGGAGCTGCATTGAGTTCAGTTGAAGTGGTTCAGGCATCGGACTAGGATGTCTCCTGAGTGCCTTTCCTTTGGATCCTTTCTGGGCACATCCAACCGGGAGGAGACAACGAGGTAGATCTGTCGGAGGGAGTGCCTATCTCATCTGGGCAACACAATGGAAAACTTACACTCTCTTAAGGTATCTCTAGGTCTGATATATTCACAAATAAATGAAGCAGATTTGTGTCTGTTCTTTACACATTGTGGGGGGCCAAGAACGTCTAGTATCAAGTTTAAACCAAATCGAATGAGTGATGGCTATTTATGGGGGTGTTTTTGTTGGTACTCAGCATGCATTTGGGCAACTGAGGTCCTGTTGCGAGAATCATCTTTAAATATTCTCAAAGATCAAAGACTAGATTCTGGAATCCAGAATGTAAGAATAGCCCACTACAATAACTGAGGGGTTGTGTGTGTTGATGAAGCAACGGCCTTTGGCAATGAGCGCTTGGCTGTCAGGCCGAATTACAACATCTCACTAGAAAATGAAAGAATCTCTGTCTGACTGTCTGTTCTTTGCTTTTCTCAACAACTATTCATCCAGTCGACTTTACACTTCCCAAGTGTACTCATGCAGACCCAGTGAAATGCTGTGTCAAATTTGTCAAGTTGCTTTGATGAGTCGTAGCTGTTGTTGGGCTCATTTTGGGGTCTTCAGTCTGACCGTTGGGTACCTGTGGACAGAGTCCCTGTTAATAGAACATAGCCTTTAAAGGTACAATTCTTGAATGTTGGCACATTTCAAAGGTAAGATTAAAGAAGGAATCTCTGCAATCGTTGTCTTTCTGTGCTACGTCTGTCTGTAAACATCAGCTTTAACAGCTGACAGCAGGCATTGAACTAGTCACAGATAAATGTCAATGAATGTGCTTGGAAATATTATTCATTCTCTACAGTAATCCAGTTGTAGTTGTAGTCAGTATGCCTATGGGTACACTCCAGCGGGAACTAGTAAAAGATAATTCCGCATACTTGCTATGGCCTATATGTTGGTGTTAGCAGATTTTCATAAGTAGAAAATTCACACTGAGCTGATAAAAAAGTAGAGAACATTGTGTACATACTTGGCCTTTGGCTGCTTCTGGTTGGAGCAACATCTTCAAAAAGAAAGTGAGCTGATGATGCCAACTTCTAATAAGAACCATTCAGACATTAACAGAACAAGCATCAATTAAATTTGTGATGTTTTTTTTTCTTTCTTTTACCTTTAACTTGCTTGAGGTTTGTTCACTTTCGTATTATCAAGTGCCAAGTTGAGCAGACCTCTAGCACATCCCAGTCTAACAGCATTTCCAAGTCTGTCTCCACAAATTTATGTTCCTACTAAAGTGCATTCTCAGCTACATCCTGACAGAAACTTAATTTTGTTCTGAAACAAACAAATATTTTCACACCTGTAACATACTAGGAAGGGCTTCAAGTGCCACAATGTCCATGTAAGGATGCATTAGGAAGGGTTGGAAGCACAAGTCAGTAACTTTGAGCTCCGCCAGGGAATCGAAATTCACATCTTGTTTCATATAAAGTTTCATTTTCTCTTGTTTACTTTTCACTGGGTTTAATAACAATAATTTCAAAATGGTAGTGCCTTTGCTAGAAGTTTGATTAGAAGCTTAGGCACCAAGACTACATGGTTGGTTTAAGAAAATATCTTGATTGAGACCAATTATGACACTTTAACAGCATGTCTGAAGCTGTTCTGGGTTATCGTTGAGATGAATCCTGTTCAGTCTAATAGCCCACATGACTGGTTGGCTAAAAAAGGAGGAATTTGTGATTTGTGATCGATCCCAAACCAGCATAGTCTAACAGATGATAGTTTCCGTCTGAACATAATTGAGAATGTACTTAAGATGTATAAAAATGTATATTTTCAGAGACTGGGTACATGGACATGGTGTAAGAATCTACAATTAGAAAAGCAAGTCTGCTCTAATACCATAATTAACATTTTGACCTGAGGCAAACATGAGTTGGATAGTCATGATATTACCAAAGTTCTAACAGTTCATACTTAAGCCACACAGGCAGCGAGATTCTTTTTTCTACTTATTGGTTGTCCGTGTTGAACACATAGATTTACACAATAAGTAAATTCAATGGCATGAAGAGACAGGAGGCACATTTTCTATCACATCATTACTGCAACACAGCGCTCACATCTGACGGTGCCATTTAAGGATTCGCTGGTCTGACACTCGCTGGGATAATTTCAGTCTTTTCACACGAATGGCAAAGTGAGTGGACGGAGCGGTGATTGTCCTCTTGAAACCGAGCTTTGCATCTTCCTGGCCCACATCAGAGAGGGATTTGTGACAGTGAAATGTGCAAAGTAAAGGCTTATCACCATTTTCTTTCTTATCATTGTCAATGTCCTCTTCATCATCACTGAGGGGAAATCAAACAGAAGCAGTGGTTTACGCTACAGCAGAATAAACAGAGTACAATGATGCTGCATTTAAGTCTCATATGTGCTGCGTTTGATCTTTCAAGTTCTCTCGCGGTGACGTGCACTTGAGATAAACCTAAAACTTTCAAATCCACAACTTTGAGGGTATGCAGGGATGGGGAAGGGGAATAAAAACATCAGACGAGCCAGATTTAGCAAAAAACATGTTTAATCTCTCCTTGATGCGTGTCTATTTACACGTAATAAATCTGCAAAATAGGAAAGAGCAGGATATTTACACGGGCGTGAAACAGCCAAAACCTGTCACAGCAGCTTCAAGTCTGAAACTCTTAAAAAGGTATCAGAATTCATAAAGTATTAAAACTCTTTAAGGTATTTTTTTTTCTTTTTTTCTTTTTTTTTTTTTTCTTTCTACCTCTCTCCTCTTTAATCTGTGTGTGAAGGTATTTTATGTCCTCTGCTCCATCTCTGAAATGTACTTTAATCAAAGTGAACTCAGCAGGTGAGGAAGCTGGAGAGCTGGAACTGCAGGGATGAGAAACCTGTGATTGTTGCTGTTTGGTGGGCAGGGGTTAGAAAAAGGGCAGATGAGGGCAAGTTCTCATGCCGCGGAGTGGTGTTCCTCTGTAGGGTGCAGCCCATACTGGAAAATAGGTACATTTCACATACACTTCTGATTTTAAAGATGGCTTTCAAAATGGTGTCAGTTCCTGAGAACTAGGAAGAAGTTCACATTTTATAGAAATGCCTTTTTTTTTTTTAACTTTCTTACTTCAAGTCAGATAAGACGATTGATACCACTCTCATGCCTGTGCGTCTTATGTTAGCAATATGTTAGCTTAGCATAGCTAGCGTGTCACCATTGCATGTAACTAACTTTATGTCTTGTCTCTACTGAACTTTGAATTTTGTGCTCAATGTACAGCTACATGTTTCTGATCTGCATTTACTGTTCTCACAACCTCCCAGGTGTTTTCTGTCTGCTGTCCATCTCCCATTTACCCCAACCGGTCGAGGAACATGGCTGCCCTCCCTGATTGTGGTTCTGCCGGAGATTTCTTCCTGGTGATTATAATTAAATTTAATTATGGGAAAGACTACAAGGAAGGAGAAACTAGCAGTGTTATTTTGTTTGTGTTATATATTAAAACAAATGTTAGCTAGCTAGCTAAGCTAACTCAGACAGAACTCTGTTTTACCCCCTTTTCCTTCCAGTCTTAATGCTAAACCAAGCAGATCATCTCCTAGCTCTAGCTTCTTAGTAACGGACATATATGAGAGTGGCATTGGTCTTTTCCCTAAACCCTGGGAAGAAAGCGAATAAGTGCATTTTTAACATTTAAAAAAATGGCTCAAGTCTTTCAATTTCAATCTTCAGTATGCTAAATACAGAGTTGTAGTCGGGGCGTACAGTAGTTAGCTTAGCCTATGCTAATGCTAGCATTAAGACAACACTAGATACTTTAAAGCAAGATAAAAACTTTAAAATATATGTTAAACAATATCTCAAACAAAAAAGGTAATTTCTGGTTGTAGCGGGAGTTATAGAGCGTAGTAGCTTCTTTGTTACATTCACTGTGCGCAGCGTATAGCATTTCCGGCATACTCTGGAATACTCCCTAAAACCATGTATTGTTTATACACTTTGCTTTATGTACGCTGCATGTATTATTATGTACTGTTAAATACATGTGCTACTCAGCTTGCGAGATTTCATGTCAACTAATAAGCCAGGCTATCGCTTAGCTAGTTTACATGACGTTAGGCTAAACACATCCGGTACCAATGCTATAATCTCACTTTCTATAAGAAATGTGTTCTGTACTTTGTTTTTGACACACATTTTGAATCATACCTTTGAAGTGTATGGAAAAAATACACAATTTTCTATATGGCAAGAGGCTGACGAGGCACAGCGAACACCTCAGCGTCAGTCAATCACTGAGAGAATCTCCCGCCTTCAACCCTTTTCCTTTTCCTCACTCCACCCTCCTTCATAACCGTCTTTTTCTATGTGGAAGAAGAAAAAAAAAAAAACACCACAGATGTGATGGAATGGAAAATGAAGCGGTACTGTAGCCTTCAAAGCGCTTCCTCTGCCTTGCCCGAGTCTTTTCATCTTTTACCCCAACAAGTGCTGAAGCAGAAAACAAGAAGCAAAACGAAGAAACAAAAGCACCAGAGACCAAGAGGGCCTTATCTCTCCATCTTGCGGAACTTTTTTTTTAAAACTCCCTACAAAGCCATCCTAGGGGTACTAACTAAGCCTCATTTCTCTAGTAAGATCGCTAAAAAAAAGTCTTCATCAAAAGAACAATTGAGCGAGTGAATAGCGGTTAAGCATCAATGCGACGGCCCGCATCCTCAGTCATTCACTGAAACTGAACAGAATGTGTTAATGAGGGCCTGTACATGGAAGTAGCGTTGCCTCAATTTCACCATTCATCAAGAATAAAGACAGACGCTAAATACCCTCAATGAGCCCTAAACTTGTTTTTGTGGAAGAACTGAAAAGCAGATGGATCAAAGGTAATCTCTCATGACAGAGTTGTTTCTCCTGATGTCGATGAAAAAAAAGCTTTGGTCAGCCCGCCCTGTATGTCGTTTTTACCCTGTGTAGATCAGTGGTTCAAGTATTGGAGCACATACAGTACGTTTCACTCTGTCCTGACACATATTTGCGCCGTCAGATAAAAACACTGAATGACAGAGATTTGAATGCAATCTCGGTTTTCTACAGGGGGAATTCATCAAGTGTACTTTTTGTTGGACTCGAGAGTTTTTATTTGACAGGAGCAATATGTGTTTGGTTTGGTGGCGTGAGGGTTGGCACAGGTCCGTGTGTGGAAAAAAACATCCCTGACAATATAAAATCATGGACAAAGAAGGAGGAGTGTGTGTGCTGGAGGTACCACAGTAGGTAAGAGTTGACTGTTCATCTCCACGTGGGTATAACTGGAAACCACCATTCAGTGGTCAAGTACTGCAACAGGAAGTTGAGGTTGTTTCCATCACATTCTGATCATAGTGTCATTATTATTTAATAAAACTTCTATTTAAGGGATTTCTGGTCAACAAAAAGGGGCCCAGATGTGTAAATCTACCACAAGGTCACGTGGCTGGAACGCAACTGTCGCACCAAATGTCGTCCATCTAGTGCTTTATAAAAGGTGTAATTTAACACCATTTAGTACGCTAACTGCTGCTGCTGGTCTTTGTCGGAACAAACAAAAGAATGTAATTCAACAAGTGGAAGCGCACCTGTATCAATAATATGGACTGTAGATCATGTGACAGGGTGGGTAATTTAGTTTAACGTTGTCCTTTGCTGTAAATGCTAATGCTAAGCTAAACAATTTTGCAACTAGAGCACCAAAAATGCTGCTTCAAAAATATCTTCCAGTTGATTTGTTGCCATCTTTCACTTTCTTCTTCTCAAACTTAGTGAACCGTTTCGGACAACTGACCACGTGGTTATATTGACTTCCACCTTTAGAGAAAACCCATTAGCAAGGGCCTTAATGTAGCTCCGGAGCTCTTCAAAGCCAACGGAACTGTACCGAAGACTCAATTTAAGCTAGTTAAAGACTTCTTTCCACTCTGCCGCACGGAAAAAAATCTGAGGGAAGCACTGCTGAAGAGGAAGAAAAAGTAAATGATTTGAAGACATCGGTACCTGCTTCCTTTAAAGTCCTATTGTTCTAAAAGGTGCATTTAATGCATTGGATCCTACTTTATCACGACCATTAGGTGGAGTTTTCATCCATCTGGTTGATTAGTCTGGTCTGGTGCTCTGTTTGTACAGGATGGATGACCTTATATACATCACCTTGGTTTGTTTAACAGTTAATCGTTTGCATTTTGTAGCCGTCACACGCTCCGAGGAGAAAGGAATGTCTTGTGTATTAATGTATGGTTTTCAAAGCACTGCAAGTAAACGTGGAGCTGCACGTGGTGAAAACATCTGAACTTCTTTTTTTTTCTTTTTTCTTTTCTGCTCCACAGAACAAAATAAAAGAGAGAAAGGCCTTGAACTGGTACAAAAACACTCACATAAATCAAGCTACATTTCAGTATTTTTTTTCATAAACCACGTTCACATTTCAAAAAAAATGGACCCTTTTAGCTTTACCATCTTCACTGCAAATTAGTAAAAAATAAAAATAAAAATTAGACAATACTGTTCCACTTTCTTCTGCACAGAAAAAAACTAGCCTTCATTTTGGATGGCACGCCTTTTTAAAAATGCTTCGGACAAGAGGGGAAGTCTAGAAAACAAGATCAAGAAGCTGTAAAGCACAGCGTGCCAAGGATCAGCTTAAATGACTGCCTGGTGCCTCTATAGTCTGCTACCACAGCATGAGGCCGGCGGACACAGAAATGACTTGTCTCATCTAAATGAGCTGACCAGGCCTTGATGTATTTGGTTTCCTCTAAAACAAACACAAAAGCACTGTAGGTTGGTTGGCTCATAGGCAGCTTCCAGACATCATTTGTCTTTTTGCTATCTTTAGAGCCAAGTATGTAGCACACAATGGCCCCAAGATCTCATGAAATATAGAAAGTGTTTGTAATATATATATATTTATATGTATTTGCCATTTACCTATTTTTAAACTCTCACTGTCAGTCACTAAGCATGACAACATTTTCATCATAGCACATTTCATCTAACGAAAAGAAGTCTCTTTGCACTAAACAACATTCAAAGTAAAACATGGCACAGGACGACTTTTTCCTCGTGTTTTCATAATTTTTCATCTTGGAAATATCAAATCTTCTTCTCAAACTTATCTTTTGTACATTGAAATGGAAAACATTTTTTTTTCAACTTTTCATTTGCTTTAAAAACAAAAAGTCTGTATTTATATATCTATATATATATATTCATATATCCTCTTCTCTCTTTTGATTTAGCTTTTGTTGTGCAAATTCAGCAGTAACACAAGTGGCACAGCACTGGGGGAGAGAAGGCAGTTGAGGAGGAGGGGAAGAAAAAGAAATCAAATGCATTAAGAAATCAGAGTTATGAAACTGACGATGTCCTTTGTTATACTACAGTGGAGTCTTGTTGAGAGGGTTGGAGAGTCAGTACTGGAGGAGGAGTTTCCCTGCAAAGTTCTTCCTCCTGGTTGCCCTGCGATGGCAGCAGCTCGTTGCTAAGCATCCACCCGGCTGAAGTGTCTTTGAGCAACTCGCTGCATCTCTGCCTGCTGCTCTACAGCTGTCCCTGACCTCTGACCTCCACGTGGAGGGCAGCAACAGAAAAGAGAATTATTATTATTATTGTTTTTTTGTTTTTTTTTACAGGGATCAAGTATTGTAATTTTTATATCCTGGATGTTTATCGGCTCACAGTCTGAACTGAAGCCTTGGCTGTGAAAAGATGCGAGCTGGCACCTTTCTTTTGTAGCGTTTCAGTTCCAGCTAGATGAGTTTTTGGTCAGCAACTGTGCGTGAACCCGGTCCTGATTGTGGCCAAAGTACCCAACTGCTGCTCCCACAGAACTCAAGATTAATGAAAATAGATGCTCTCCTGAGCGGAGGTCCGTACTGGCTGAGGGCGCGCTTGATTTGGTTGTTCATGGCAGGGTCGGTGGCTCAGAGAAGAAGAAGAAGACGAAGAAGAAGAGGATAAATAAGAGGAAAAAATTCAAACCCGGCTGTCGGGGCGTTAGTTCCAGACTTTGCTGTCTCTCCAGTGTGCTGCTGCTGCTGGGTGCTCGTGTCCTCGCAGTCTCATCCGCTGCTGTGGGTCGCTTTTACGTGAGGGTGATAACAACAGATCTTAAACATCGAGGGGCAAAAATGTCACGGGGGGGGGGGCGTCAAAAGTTGTCAGGGAAGGCGTGTTGGTTTGCCAGTTCTCCACTAGCTGAGGCGCGGTGATCGGCCGGTCCTCAGCTAGCCAAGGCCATGGTGTCGATGACCTGCTCCAGCTTGCCGCGTAGCCGCTGTCTGCGTGACTGTTCGTCCTTCTGTAACGCCGACAGGATCTGGACACAAACAGGAATCACATCATCACACCCTATAGCATGTCTTTTAAACCTATAGCATGCAGCACTGGGCGCAGCTATTATGTAAACGCTCTTTAGCAGAAAGAGCGATGCTGAATCCCATTTACCGGCTAGCGATTACAATTAGACTGATGCTGACAACATGGGCAGGGCAGGTGTGAGGGCTAGTGGGACATCTATAATTGCATGTTAATTGCCGCCGAGGATGCATACAGGGGTGCATGTGTGCGTCCGATTGTTATCTCACAAGGCATGAGGAGGGGAAGGAGGAGCCGGTGCAGTGTATGGATGTATGCATTCTGTCTTTGCTTCTCTTAATTATGTGTGTATGTGCATTAGCAGGCGTAGGCGACAGCGTTTAGCGTGACTGTGTGCGTACATTTGCACCTGTGTGTGTTGCGCGCGTGAGGTCAGGGCACGTGTTAGAGGCGATGGGGGACCATGCAGCTGCCTACATCTGGATAATAGGCTGTAATGAAGGGGAGCAGTTGGCTTGAATGGAGCCAGCTGCAACCAGCCAACGTGACTGCTGCTGGTATGGAGGGACGGGGGAGCAGGAAGGAGGATCTTTCACCACATAAAAGCGCGCTGAAGTAGTGAAGAGCAGGGTGCATGGTATAGAGACTGGATATTTAAATGTGGCTATAAAAGATTTTCCACTTACACACAAGGCACAACGTGGACTCCAGAGAAAGGGGCTCATTCCATAAAACCTCTGCACACATGTGTACGTGTAAATCTATCAAACTTACCCTGTGCATCAATGTGTATTCAAATAGGTATATAGTAATTTAGTGGATTTATGATTTGCATAAATAAAGGGGAGCAGGTGTCAAGCGTTACTGACAACGTTGCATGTTTCTTCAAGCAAATTGTAAAGACACTGGACACAACCAGTTATCATTAGTGATTTACTGCGACCATATTGATTATCCAGCTGGCTTCGGCCATCTTTATTGTAGTGTATTAGTATTTTATACATGCATATATATTTATGTTTGAATAGAGCAATCTGAAATCTTAACTTCTTTTGTATAATGTGTAAGAAAATAGAGCCTTGAGGGCATGTTCAGCAAAAATACCACAAATACCCATGACGCGATCTAAACCACAACTGTCCTCTCAATATAAAGCGTACAGCTAGTTAGCTTAGCATAGCAAACAAGACTTAAAAACAAGGAGTCTGGCTTGGTCCAGCGTCTACCACTGATCCATACAAAATAAATCAATTAACATATTGTGTGTGTGGCCTGTCGTCTCATCCTTGTGTGTTTTCCATTCATTCATCAGTGTACCCCATCAAGAAACAGCCTCGCTTTAAAACTACAAATGATCGTTTTAACACTCAGACATTAATGTTAAACATAAAAGCGATCGTCTTTTCTGGCACTTTGTATGAAACTGAGCTAAAGACTTCTTTCTGTGGCTGCACATACAAATGACTCCAGCATAATATGTGAATGGGATCCGATGGTTCAAATTACGATCTTCCAAACAGCAACTTGTGAATGTTTCTGCCAAGAGTGATTTTCTTTGTAGCTTCAGTTTCTTTTTTAACTTGCTGGAGTCTCCACCGGTTGCCTGGCAACCTCATGATGACGACGACAGGACTTGTTTGACAGAAAGCTTCTTGGAGAATCTAGCGAGCTAAGCTAGCGGTTATTCTCGTAGTTTAATCGTAGCAGCTGGAGTTCCTTGAAGACGTTCCACCTCATCCAAGAGGCTTCATCAGTTCTGACTGACTAGTTGGGAGTTCCAGATATCCTTAAGGAGCCATGAACACCTGAGTTTTGGTTTCAATTGGAGGTTTGTTGCTCCTCCTTAAGTATCTGAACTCCCAACTAGTCAGTCAGAACTGATGAAGCCTCCTGGATGAGAGGCTTAAAGAACTCAAGAAAGTCCAGTTGCTACGACTAAACTACAAGAATAACCATGACCTGGATGACTCTTAACAGACAAGCTAGCGGTTCCTCTACCTTAAATGGAGCTTCACTATACAGAAGGTCCACCCAGAGGAATGCTAAGCTAAGCTACACCAACATTTTTTTTTTCCAGCCAATTGCTATAAGCCAAACAGTCACTGTTTTGGTCACTCACTCAATCAAGACTGTTATGTGACATCGCATATAAGCATTTTTTTATGTGACCTTCAACTGATTAAAATTTGGAACAGCTGCTTTTTAATTGCTGATAAAGCCCATTAGACAATAAGAATTTAAATTGCAAAAGACAAGTACATGTAACAGAGAAACACTTTTGGCAAACGTGTCCTTGTTCTGCTCTGGACGCCCACTGACTGGAGACATCACACTGTGTCCATCCAGCCTTTTCTTTCTTTCTTTCTTTCTTTTGGCTGCAGGTTCTGAGTCAGTCTTGCATTGTTCAGCAGTTTGCAGCACTTGTTTCCAGCACTCTTTAAAGTGGGTCTCCTCTCTGCAGTCTTTAAGAGTCGGCACAAAAGCTTCAACTAAATCCACAGCTTAACCTAAAATCACACACACTTGAACCGATAAAAAACAAACACATTCTCTGGGTGAATATTTACACCGTTTAGACACTTTTCAATGCCAGTAATATGAAATGTTTGAGTTACTTCCTGGTTGGTCAGAACTACTTGGATGCATGCGGTTAAATGGGGGCTGGTTGTGTTGTTGAAATGCATCTCCATGGGAAGAACAATGGTGGAGAAATGGTTCCTAGACTGCACTAAGGGTTGGTATGTGATGTCATACAGACGTTCCTCTGCTAACCACATGTCCATGCACGGCGGTGGCATCATGCATCGATCCTTAATTTTAAAAGTGTTTAAAGCAGTGCTGCCCTTGTTGCTTCAGAAACGTCCAGCAAAATGCAACTTGTGTGGACACTACCCACCTCACTAATTGATCAAAACAAAAGAAAACGATAAATAGTTAGCCTAGCGACTGCTACTTGTTAGCATAAACAAAGCAAAGCGGTCTTATCAAACTCTATGCAAGAAACCAAATGTCTCCAAATGTACTGCTATTCCTTTAAGAGGTTTGTGCAAAATTATTGCGTTTTAATCAGCTGGCCAGCAGCTGTAGAACGCTGTATGTCTGTATCTTAGAGAAAAAAAAGAAATCACATAAATTCTGTTAAGCTCCATTAAGTTCATAATGCGTTGAGCTCATGCCCTAATGTGCATCCTAATGGTGGTAATACCTTCCAGCCTGTACCGATGTGGACTGGTTATCAGTGTAATTGAATTAAAATGACCTCATGGTATTAGTCAAGACAAGTAAAAGGAGAGAGCGAGGGAGGGGTTGCAGCAGCAGACCCTTCTGAGTAATTACAGCGTCCTTCCCTTTTTTCTGTTTGGGGGGATCCGGCGGGAGCTCACCTCGTCTTTGTATTTGATGATGTAGGAGTAGATCTCGTGCAGCGCCGACATGCTGTTGAACTGGCTGAGGTGCAGACGGGACTGCTCCGCCAGATAGGCACTCATGTCCTGATCGCTGATGGCTGGCATGCGGGAGATATCCGAGTAGTACCTGGAAGAGAGGGCAGGCAGGCAGGCGGGGAGTTTTACCAATCGTTTTTGCATTCCATCCACAGCTTTGACTTACTGTCTCAACTTAGCGGCTGTTAAATATTCTAGACGCAAACGGCAGCAGCTGGTGGTCAGGCGGCGGCTCACGAGGGGGGGACTGATACAGATTGATGCACATTTCCCTGCTCGGTGTTTAGCTGATGCTTCGACGTCTTGTTAAAGGACACTTTGACAGGACGAACGGGCGCGTCTTTTAATTTTTAGTAGATTTTAGTTCATTGCTCCCTTGTGAGTTTATTTTAAAAGAGCAGACCAAAAAAACCACAATTTTATTATTCTGTTGTCTGTGACTCCTCATGTAATTTCATACAAAGCAGGTTGCCTCATACAAATCATATATTTAAGGTCCGAGCACACCGAGGACCCTATTGTAACTCTTGTGATTATCATTATTAAAATTATTATGGTACGCAAACTTTGAACGTGTTTTTGAGGGCCTAAACGTGCTCGAAAACTCACCAAAATCACCATGCACTTCAGGACTGGCGGAAATCGGAAACTATCAGAGATGTGGACATATCACTGCCAAAATGGCTCCACAGCGCCACCTTGAAAATTTTGCCGGAGTCCTGTCGGAAGCACGTTTTCCCTAGCGCTATGCAATTTCATAGGCATATAGAGCTGGTTGGCACGAACAAAAAACTAAAACGCAACATGGCTCAACAGCGCCCCCTACAATATTTAAACAGGGTCCCATCGCGGCTACGTTTCACCTACAACTACAAAACTCGCCACACATGTGTAACAACTCGTGACGCACAAAAAAGTCCATTAGCATGTTTCTGTAAATCCAACAGGAAATCCGCCATGTTGGAAAAACCGCGACCATTTTTCGTAACTAGGCCACACTTGCTCCGATCTGCCCCAAACTCGACATGCCGGATCACAGTCCCGCCCGGAGCAGGTTTGCACCACACCCCGCCGTGCAAGAAGGCCGACAAGCGTAGGGCGAGGACCCGTCCATCGCCGCTTGCGGCTTTAATTTTTCTTATTATTTGTACTTTAGGGTGGTGCTGGGTTAGCTCATTCACAGGCCAGGATCACTGTGTATAACTGACTTGATTATTTTCACAATTTTATTATGTTGCTGTATATATGGCTTTTATGAAATAGTTAGAAGTATTATAGAAAATATATATATATAATAATGTTGTTTTGAGATATTAAGAGGAGCTGCTTAAGGGGAGATATTATCAAAGTTAGGAAGGGCTTTGCTGTTAAAAAATAAGCCGCATCCGGCACCAGTTCTCATCCACGTAACGTCCACACCGTCACTTTTGGCTTTCTAGACTTGCAATCTTTTGAAGTCCTTTCTCTCAGAACAACGCCACCGACCTTAACATTATCAACTTAGCGCTGCAGGACGGCAAAAACGAGACGGGCAACAAAACAGTGCATTAAGAACCCATCCTGAGCTGTTTGAAGAATCCATATCTCAACTCTCTCAAGGTTTAACGGCAGCAGGTGCAGGCTGAGGGGAAAGTGCAGGTTAGGAGGCGCCATAAAAACGAGGTTCAGACCGCACCCGGTTAACGCTCGCCTATAAATCCTCATCTCGCGCCACCTCTGGAAGCTTTTGCCTGCAGCACATTCAAATGACATAACGAAAAGGCCTTCTCACCAGGATGTATTGTTGCATTGCAATTTCATTTTTAATTAATGCACTTTATTTAGAGTTATACTTCTTTTTTTTTTTCCCCTCCTGACTCGACCCTTGTTTGTGTTGTATCCACTCTCAAATTGGAGAAAAGCTAAATGAAATTGTAGAATTTTTAGCATCAGCATTTGATAACCTGGAAATCTGAGGATGAGAAGAGAGAAAAAGACAAAAAATGTCATCATCTCTTACGCCATCGCAGCGCTGCACGCCGCCAAACAAAGAGTCCGGGAAGAAGCAAAGCCTGGAAAAGCTACTTAGAGACTATTGGACTCCCGAAAAAAAAAAAAAAAAGCAGAAACAATGACTGTGGCAAGCGCAGGTGGTGCGTTAACTTATCTGGTGTTTAAACATTCTGGAGCTGAATAAAATATGAAGGGTGAACCGGAGGACATTTTTCAGCGAGCTTCCATTTGGAAAGAGAGAGGGCAAACAGTAGCTATAAATCCTTCTTTAACCTGTGTGTGTGTTTTCTTTTATTCGCTTTCTACTTATACACACAAAAAAACAAACTGGAACTGAATTCATTTGGAGCTGATATGTTCTACACTCTGTATACTTGTGTTTTATATTTATAAGCCCGGAGCGAGACAGCTGTAATTACAGCACGTGGGCTTTCTTGCTCTAATTTAATCCAGCTATGCACTCGATGCTTTAAATGCCAGAACCAGATAACCTGTAATGTTGTAATCATCTTACAGCTGTTTTTAGCTTTAATAGTGTAATTAACTTTGATCTGAACCTCGTTTTTCTAACCACCTTCCAGCAGCTCGCGTACGGCGTTGTCCGGTCAAACGTAGTTAATCTGGAAGCGTGTTTGGGTTCAGACTTACCTCTCTACCCAGTTCTTGTAGTTGGGGATGTCTTTAGCGTAGAGAAGCTTATTCGAAGGCGAGTCTTTGCCCAGTTTGTGTTCAGACGTTGAACAGGAGTCCATGAAGGTCTGGGCCACCACAGACAGACAGGCGTCCGTGATGCTGTTCTTGTGGATGTCGAATACAAACTGGGGGTTCTTGATCACGTTCACCCAGAACCGCAGAGGAAGACTGGAGAGCAAACACAGAAGAGGCTTCATTCTGCTGTTATTCACATTATGCAGTTTTCTAATTAGTAAACTGTGTGCATTAAAACGTGCCTTTTTCTAACTATTCATACTGTTTTTATTGTAATGTCGTCGTTGTCGGTGCCATTCAGGCATTGTGGCAGCTGTCTGAGGCAGAACGTTACAGAAAAGATTCACCTAAATGCAGCCGCCGATACAGAAAAGAACACATTAATGAAATAAATGTAAATAAGTAATGAAGGGAAAAAAAATACTGCAACGCTCATCTGAAGATGTTATATTATTATTAAATCAACCAGTAAATTATTACCGAGCGTCCGACGCAGCAACTATTTTAATTTTCTACGCATTTTGCAGACTTGGATTTATTGATTTAATTTAACGACGACACGCAGCGAGCGCAGTGTTGTTCACAAAGATTTTTTTACTTTGCAGACGTTTGCAGATGGGCTATATAACATTAGCACGATGCCCTGGTGGCCGTTTGAATATTCTCTTGCAATGCGATTCCATCGCAGTCAGCCGCTTTCAGACTCTCATGCTAATGTCATGAGGGCCAAGAGTGAAGACACCTGAAGTGCTGGGGGTAAAACTTCATTGCACTGAATGAGCTTCGGGGTGAAGGTGGCTCCATGGTTAGCACCGTTGCCTTGCAGCTAGAAGATCCCCGTTCGTGTCCTGATTAGGACGCCTGGGATCTTCTGGGGTGTTCTCTCTGGGTTCTTCCTCCCACACAGTCCAAAAACATGTTGAGGTTAACTGGTGATTCTAAATTGTCCGTAGGTGTGAATGTGAGTGTGCTTGGTTGTCTGTCTCTAAGTGTAGCCCTGTGATAGACTGGTTACCTGTCCAGGGTGAGGGTCACCTGCAACCCTAGTGAGGATTAAGCGGTGTATAGATAATGGATGGATGATCTTCTATCTTGGACCACTGTGCATCAGCGACAATGGATTTCCAGCAGCTACAGGTAAAAAAAAAAACAACCCTCTTGCTCACCAGTTGCTCTTCCAGGTGTGTCGTACGTCGTAGTCTGTGATGGAGTGTTTGTCGGCCTGCTCGTCCAGGAAGTCGAACATGTACTTGATGGCCAGAGGCAGCGCGCTTCCTCTGTGAGCCGTGCTGAAGATGGTCTCGAACAGGTCGTCTACGAACTTCTGTAACGTACCCTGAAAGGAAGAATAAGAGGAGAACAAAAAAAGAGAAATTTGAGAAATTTGAATTTTGCACTCCCTCAGTCGTGACTCGATAATCCGACACTAAATGTAAAACCTTCTGCAAGGCTGTCGGATTGTCAAGACGGAGGTCGAGATACAAGGAGGGCTTGATGCTGGAAGGGCCATTTGTTGTTAATATTTATTGTTCATAGTTGTTTTAATAACTAGTGTATTGTTAGAACACTACACATCGCTGGATTTCACGCCTAACTGACCAGTGTGCTTGTGCATGGACCTCAAAGGAAGGAAGGAAAGTAAATCTGTGGGATTGTTAAGTCAGATAATACGCTGTTGTCCTTATTTGTGACATAAAATGTCACGTCTGAATCCAAGGCTGTCGGTATGTTAAGGCTATTTTCTGTGGATTCTGTTTGTTTTTCCTAAAAACCTGTCGGATAGCAACGTTTAGGATTGTTAAGGGTCGAAATGTCAAGTCACGACTGTGTTTCTAAAACAATTGTGACAGCTACAGCATGAACTCCAGCTTTTAATCCATCAGTATTCACTTCCTGTTTTGAAAGTGCAGCTTGAACCTTGAACAACCCGTCCTTGTGTTGCCCACGTAGGTTCGTGGTTATAATGGCAGAGAAATCTTTGAAATTCTGGTTTCAAATTGTTATATATGAGCACAAGTGGAGTCATCGTGTCTGACAAGCTTTTTGACATTTAAGCACAGGTGGGGTACTTTGGTAATCACGCTGACCTTTGTGCTTTTCTTTTTTTTATAGTTTGTTTTTATTGTTACTCACATTGATTTTTAGTCATTTATGTGTGGAGTATTTTTGTGCCGCCGCTACTCAGGATCAATCTACGCACAACAGCACCTTTGAAAACTAGATCCACCTAAAAGTCAGCTTCAAATCAACCATTTAATAGGACAAGGAAAAGATCTTGTGAAAACTTAGACCCCAAACAAGACCCACTGCGCTGTGTGACAGGATGGAGTGTACCATTTCCAGCCACTTGTATCCGCAGCACCTGAATGGGCCGTAAGCATTTTAGTATGAACGGGCCCGGTGGGAATCACAGTGGAAGCCCGACTCGATCTGCCCTCCCAACACACAAACTCCAGGTCTAGAGCCGGGGCTTTCCTCCAGCGACGACGCTATATTATAATTGCATCAAATGCAGCTAAATGAATTTTCTCTTACATCACATTTGTTTCCCCGACTTCTCCACCTGGCAGAATCCATTAGCGGGGAAATGTTTTGGGATCGTATTTAGTCAGCCGCTGCGAAATGGAACAGGACGGATTTCTGTCCCGGTCGCAAATGCAAATACTAAGATCTGCATAGACAAGACGGCGAGGCAAGAAGGGAGGCAGGCCCAGACAGTCAGCCACGGAGAGACAAGGACAAGATGAGCTTCTCAATTGCATTTGCCTCGCTGTTTTTTTTCATCATGCATGTCCAAATCTTCAATCCCTCAACAAATTACCTGTCTCCTGACACCTCCTGTATCTGCCTCCCTGCACTCTGCACCACAAGCCCACCTTTTATTAATCTGTTTTTTCTTATTACCAGTGGAAATTGAAAAGCTGGCTCACTTGTAACTGCTGCCCATTGCTATATTTCCCTCCACCCTCTTACAATTAGGGGAGAGACGGCGAAGTGAGAGGCAATGAAGGGTGAGCAGGAAAGACAGCCTCGGACTTGCTTGCAAGATTCAAAGACGGTTGTAAGTCTGTTTATCCCTGTGTGTGTGTCTGTGTACATTGGCAACCAGTTTTGTCAGGCAAATAATATAAAGAAGGATTGAAAGGCCATTCTTTCAGGCAATCCTTCAGTGTTTTACTGGTTTTAGGTCAAATCCCCACAATATTTAAGGAGGCTCAGGTTACTCAGATGCAGAAAAAGCCAATGTGATCCCATGTCAAGCTGAAAATCACATGCTGGCCTCAGAAACTACCTTTCCTGTCCAAAGTGTGAAACTCAGAAAAACCTCCTGTCTCTTCTATCATCAACAGAGCAATGATAGTCAACTCCACAGATCTCAGCCTGCACCAGTGATATTTCTAAATGTACAATGGTGTTTGCCTTCAGCTCAGTTTCTATTAGCCTGAACTCGTAGTAATCCCAACTAGCCCCGATGTTTAGCCCAACAGTAAGTCAAGCATACACAGAAAGTTTTCCACTGGTGCTTTTACAATGGTCTGTTTATCAATCTATACAGGCTGCAAAATGTCTTGTAAAATACATATCAGGTGTTGTACATCAGCTGTAGTATCTGGTTGGGCCACCAGGTGGAGACTCATTTGTGTTTAATACTGTAGCAACCCAAGACGGTGGTTCCATTGTTTACTCAGACAGCGTTCCTGTAATTGAGGCTGCTTAAACAAGTGCTACATATCCCGTGGTTTAAACTGGATCTATCAGAATATATACCGTAAATTCCAGACTATAAGCCGCTACTTTGAACACTGCGGCTTAAACAATGACGCGGCTATTTTATGGATTTTTATGAATTTGCCTCGATACGAAAGTGTCATTAAGACCGACGACGAAAGAGAGACTGAGGAAGTAATTCTGTTCACACTGAAGAAGACGACTTTAGTGGTTTTAGTGCAGGAGGAAGATGAAGATAGAGATCAATGACTTTTCCTGGTAGGCTGCTGTAGTTTTTATTTTTTTTAACCAGCCGTGTTACAGGCACTGTTCGGAAAAAAAGCATTAGTGTATATTACCGGTACGTATTTAATTAAACGTTTAAAAAGATCTGTGTAAATATCTCATGTTACAACGTGGACACCTGCAGCTTATAGACAAGTGCAGCCTATGTATTAATTTTGTTTTCTTGTTAAAGTTAGTGGGTGTGGCTTACATTCAGGTGCGCTCAATAGTCTGGAAATTACGGTATATATATATTTAAAAAACCACCTGTATTTCTTATGTTCAATTACAGTGATTGCATATTGGGTTTGAACTGCTTCCAGTCTGCAAGAAATCTGGGTTTCGTATGCCACTGCTGCACCCACCTACCTGAACTCCCTCATATGGGTTTATGACCACTAGTATCACTGTGAGGCAGGAGATCTCCGTCTCATGTGTGGTCTTACCCAGTAGTCCCCAACCACCGGGCCGCGGACCGGTACCGGGCCGTGGGTCATTTGGTACCGGGCCGCACAGAAAGAATAAATACATTTTATTAGTTTATTTTATTCCCGGCGGAATCTGCAGGGTGTTTTATTTTGAAAAATAACGAGCTCGTCTTCCCGTAACTTCCGCCTCTGCTTGTTTCCTGCACTTGACTCTGTCAGATTTCATGCCCGGCCGTTAAATCTAATCTAACCGCTGCCAATATGAATAAAAAAACTAACTTGAGAGACACTGAGGCCGAAGAAAATGTAAATACTGATTTAGCAATAAAACGTAATTTGATTTGTTTACAACATTTTCTACCAGAAGAAACAATTATTATTTGTTAAGTGCGCAATGACCGGTCCGTAGAATTTTTTTTTAGCTTGAAACCGGTCCGTGGTGCAAAAAAGGTTGGGGACCGCTGGTCTTACCAAGACCCTTCTCATTTTCTATGAATTTGAGTATTATCTAATGCACTTACTGCAGAATTCTGGTCTGAATGTAGTGGCTGCTTGATGCTACTTGATCTCCAGTGACTCTCTCTGGAGGTAAGCACATACATAAATGGAAATAAATGAACATATTAACCCCGAGGTTCTGCAGACCCTCCGTGTTAGAAGCTTCCTCTACGGTTAAATAGATGAGGTGTGTCAATCTGTCTTAAAGAACTGTTAATGCTGAAAAGATATACATGAGTCTGAGTTTCAGTGGTGACTTTTAGTGGCCCCCCCGATGGTTCCAAGTGCTGCTTAAGAGGTTTTTTCCACTGACTGGAATCCACTTTTCCGTGTCTCACTTTTGTAGCCAGCAGCCTGGTCAGGTAGATCTCAGAGACCATCTTGCTCCCCCGGTCGCCCTCCCTCTGGTCCGAGTGGTCGTGGTTCTTCACCAGATGCCACAGCTTGGTTCCACTCTCCAGGTCGGGCGTTATCATGGGCGTTCGGGATCGTAGGCTGTCCGGACTGCTGGCTGTCCTCAGCATGCTCTCTGAACGGAGGAAAACAAAACGGAATCATTTGAAAGGATTACGTCAGCTTGCTTTAGAATCCAGTCTGTGAATGAAAACTAATTTTCCCTGTTTGACTGACCTACAATCATCCCAAAAAAAAACTGCTTTTCTTTAATATTTCTCACCATCCCCTCGTCTCGAGCATCTTGCTTCATTATTTATAGTGTGACTGTCAGCGTTGATTAAAGTGAAGCAAAGAGATATCTGCAAGTGTTCCATTTAGGATAGCAGAGGGGGGAAGGAGGAAGGGACCAGGGAGGTGAGGAACACAGAAGGGGGGAGATGATTATCTGCTCACTGGCTTCTGGGGTAGAAAGCAGAATGGAGCAGAAGATGTGGAGAGAAAATAAAAAGAGAGAGAGATGCTGATGCAAGTAACCATCCCCCTTTTTTTGCCTGGTGAAAGGACAGAGAGGAGTAAATGATGGGGAGATGACAGGAAAAAAGGGGGGAAGGTGGGTGGGTGAGCTAAATGGACAGAGATACAAAAAGGTCAGGAGAGAGAGGGGTGAAATGGAGAGTAATGGGAGAGCACGGGATGGAGAAGTGAAACAGGCTGAGTGGGGTGCTGTCTAGTGCTGCTGTTGCTTTTGCCAGCGGGGTGCTGAGTGGCTTTGATTCCAAACTCATCATGACCATCGGTGGCCAAAATTTGTTGGGTTTTTTTCCCCCGCCTGTACAATAGCCCTCTTTGAAATGCACACATCCACTCGCTGGGCGCACGCCGACGCTGTGACGGATTAAACAAAATAACAAAATTCAAAATATCAAACACTTATTTATGAAATAGCTGTAGCAGCGTGAGGTGGTTCTTTAAGAGGAAATTCAGAAAGTCTCTTCACTGATGTAGGTAGAGTTCGCTGTGTCGATTCAGATATTTCCATTCCAATACAGTGCCTATAAAAAGTGTTCACCTCGCTTGGAAGTTTGCACCTTTTATTGCTTTTGAACACCACATCATCTCCAATTAAACTAGTTTTTTCCAATAAGGATTCACAAAAAAAGCTAAAACAACAACAACAAAACTCTTTCATGTCAAAATAAAAACAGATTTCTATTAAGTATGGCAATTATTTAAAACTTAGTGGTTTTAGCAGCATTCACTCCTTTCAAGTCAGTATTCGTTAAATGCTGCAATCACAGCAATGACCCTATGTGTGAATAGCTCCTCTCGCCAAGCTTTGCTATCTGAAACACTGCAATTTCACCCCAAGTGCTCAACCTCAGTCCAAGCCACTAATTCTCAGTTGGATTAAGGTCTGAGCTCCACAGCATTCATCTGGTCGTCTTTAAACCATTGCTACGTAGCTTTGGCTGTTTGCTTCAGGTCATCGTCTTGATGCAAAACAAATCTTCTCCCAAGTTCTCTTGCAGACTGCATCAGGTCATGCTCGAGGATTTCCTTCTACTTTGCTGTTTCCCCCTCTACCTTCATAGATACTCCTGGCCCTGCTGTGGAGAACCATCTCCACGCCATGATTCTGCCCCCCCATGTTTTACAATCACAATATTCTTCATCAAACCAAAGAACTGTCTTCCAGCTGACTTCAGATTCTCCCAAATGCCTTGTGGTGAACTTCAGACTTGACTGGTGAAGAACAGATGTGCGAACGATCTCAGTAGATGGAGCTTGTGACTCCTTCAGAGGGGTCAAAGGTGTCTTGGTGGCCTCCCTCATTAATCTCTTCCTTACATGGTAACTCAGTTTTTAAGGACGGCCTGCTCAAAGCAGATCTAAGCACATGCCATATTCCTTCCATTTTTTAACAATGGATTTAGCTGCACTCTAAGGGATATTCAGTGACTCAGACATGTTCTTGCATCCATCTCTTGCCTTTGTCTACAGAATTTCTTGGAATTATGTTTTATGGTGTAGTTATAGTGAGGATTCATCAGTGGACATTCCAGACACAGGTGTCTTCATACTACCATCACTGCTGTCAGATGTTCCCCATCTCAGTCATATAGTGACTTCTAGCATCACCTGGCTGCACCTGTGTCAAACTAGTGTGATGACCCCTGAGGTCATCTTGAGTCTTGTGGGTGGTTCTAGTTCGGCTATTGGTTCTGTGAGTGGCTGTTTAGGGTAATCAGGAGCAGCTGTGACACCCAGTGTGTTCCTGGATTACTTAAGGACTGACTGCAGTCTAATCTCTCTCTACTCTGCTTCCCTCCGCAGGTATTGCATCGGTCTGGTCATGGGTTAGTTTTCTTTGTTTAGGACGTTTGCATTTACAACACTTGCACAGACATAATTCATGCATACATCACATACACACACCACTGACTCTGTTTATTCTCACAACCCCATATTGGTTTGGTTTTTAATTTGATATCATTTAAGGGAATAAAGATAAGCTTTAATTTTTGAAACTTGGTGTGTCTCTCCTTTTGTTACGGCCATCTTGAGCCAGGTCGTAACACTAGGTGTGAGTTTAAAAGGGGGCGAATACTTGAGCAGTGGCATTTTTCATTTTTGACTTTTCTGTACATTCTTGTCAAAAAAAAAAAGTCAATGTTGAAAAGGAATAAAATGGTGAAATCTTCCAGGAGTACTTTTTTTTTATAGGCACTGTGGATGGACTGTGTTGTTTTCAGCTGCTCCTTGCTGAAGGGCTTGTGCTGCTCTACCTTTCTCTTTATATACCTATAAAAACACCTTGAAGGAGTTCTGTTGAATCCCAGTAAGGTGACCTACTTGTCCAGGTCACAGTTTTCCCTTTTCTTCTTTAGAAACTCTCGTTTGACTGTGGATCACCAACATGTTGGAATGTATCTCTACCATTCCTCTGTGTTCTTATGTTCATACAATTAGGATAACTAGAATTAAATGCTTTGTTGCATTGAGTTTTTACACTGGGGCCTGTATTTCTAATATAGTCCTCCTAATGTTTTTGATTGTTCATAAGAGAAAATCCTCTACTTACTCTACTTATGCAATTGTTGAGAGGCGATACGATTCTGAATCATCTGGCATTTAAGCGAAATTTCACCGGAGTGCACTCACTTCTGCTGTTTAATGCATGTGAGAGTAGTCACTCGCAGCAGCGACTCCTCAGAGAAGCAGCAGCAGCTCTGGGGAGTCTTTCAGCGTTCTCTTTGGCATCAGTCTCTTTTGCTGTCACCTGTGTTGCTTTTGGCCACAGCTGGTTGCAGTTTTCTGTGACAAAGCTCTAAGAAATCCATTCTGCACTACCTGCTCGGCACCCAGCAGCAGCACAGACAAGCTGGCGAACACTGTGGCAAAAAAAATAAAACAGGAAGCTAAAAAGTGAAGTATTCCCACCGGTAGTGGGTGCAGCTCTGTTCCTGTTGGATGTAAACACCTATTGCTACACCTTTGTAAGCTGAACATAGAATAATATGTCAGTGTCATGCTAACAGGTCACTTCTTCTGCCACCAAGTGGACAAAAATATCTAAATGCACATTTAAATAAATACATAAAGTGTTGAAAATAATCCCTTTTTCCAACATTATCCCTCCAGTGAGCCAGTGACTGGATCAGAGCAGAAAGTCTCACTTTTTGATATTTTTGGTTAACACACCTGAATTGGCATCGATAAAAAAGTGTAAATTTTGGAAGTACAAATACATGCATACAGAGAAAAGTTAAAAAATCATACCTACATATCTGTTTATAGTACGGGTGGTTCTGGAGAGAAGCTACCTCAGCTGTGCATGCATGAGGGATAATATCCACTCAGCATCCCATCAGGGCTTTGTTTGTTTTCCTATTTTTTTATTACCACAGAGTGATTTATCTTCAAAATAGTTTAATTTTCCAGTGAAATCTACCATATTGACGCTGGGCTCCTGTCTATCTGACTGCTGGGTGTCCTCCCTCTCTCTCGTTCACTCTGTCAGCTGCAGATCGAGGTGTCTACTTTAATGCCTGTCATTTACGGACTGCTTGGAAATAGCCGTGGAATAGCCTTGGCCTGGGCTGATGGCAGTGGATAAAAAGGATTGCCATTCACTCAGGGGGAGGTAAAAAAAAAAAAAAATGGAGTCCAATCATGGCCACGACAAACAAAGACAAAGAGTGAATGAAAGAGAGTTAGATGGCGTAGAGAGGGGGGGAGGTGGGGCAGTTAGAGAAATGGGAATCATTGACAGAATGATTTAAATAGGATCAAGTCAAGAATAGCCGCCGTACCGTATCTGCTGAGGCTCTTGGTGAAGGTGGACGAGTTGGAGATGTTATAGGCAGAGTTTTGCTTTGGCACAAGGGCAATCACCGAGCCATCTGTTACCTGCATAACAAAGACACACAACGAAACACTCGGTGTATAAATCCATCTCAGCTGCTTGTCTGTCAACGCATCCACGTGGTTGTTTCGTACCTGATAGTGAGCCAGGGTGTTGAGTCGTTTCCAGTCGTTGTCGATCTTAGTCGTTACATCTTCGTCCTGCAGGATGATTCTGGCCATCCGGCCTTGACGCCATTCTTCAAAAAGAGGAAACAGACAATGAGCGCAAAAGAGTCGGACACACAAACTCTAAAACATCTCACAGTGAGGTCAGGCCTCTTTTCAGTCCTTTCTAAATGCTAAAATCATATTTATGCTTTCATAAACTACAACTGTGCACAACTTTGCTTGTATATTTCCAGGACATTTCTTTATGCCACATGGAGTTGCCAGTTTTTTGTTTGTTTGTTTTTTCTGAATTTAAATCTTTCGAGCTATCTAAATATATACACGGTGACTGGAATCAATATTTTTAAACCAACAATGAATGAAACTCTAATAACTCTAGTAATTTATTCATTTATTTTATTTTATTCACTTATTTTTATTTTTAATTTTTTTAAATAGTTTGGCTCTTTTTCTGTTGGGATTGGTGTTTTTCTCTTGCTGCTGCTGTACCACAGTAATTTCCCAGACTGGGATAAATAAAGTATTTTTCTATTCTTCTATTCTCTATTCTAAAGTTTAGCATCTTTCTGGTTATTCTTTTGGTTTTTACAGATAGGTAGCTATTTTCAGCAAAAACAACAGTCCTGATAAACATTGTATGCTAACGGTTAAGGCCAATATAGCAAACAATATTAGCGACAAGCTAACCAGACATTTTCCACAGGAGCTGATGGAGACCAAAAAGAGGGGAAGGCTAAAAAAAGGAGCAAAAAACAGTGACTACTTTACTTCAAGAATATATATATTTTTCTTTTTAAAGTTATATTTTTTGGCCTTTTTGCCTTTATTGTTTAGGACCTGCAGCAAAGGGCCATGAGCGAGATTTGACCCCACTACCACTGTGTCGGGGACTATAGCCCCTGTACATGGGTCGCCAGCTCAACCAGTTGAACGATAGCGACGGCCCCCAAAAAACAAATTTATTAACCTGCTGTATGCATGACAACCATAACTTCATATATCCATAACTTCCTCCTGGTGTGGACGGCCCCAATGGTAGCGTTTCCCACAATCCCTCAGTGCCATGCCTCTTTTAGTCTTGTGGTGAGTGTGTGCGTCTGTGCGTGCGTCTGTGTGCGCGATTGCATTAGTTGTATGTGTATGTGTATGCATGGAGGGTGGGACGGACGGGTTTACTTTATTTTTTTTTGAAATGTTGTAATGTTTTTAAATGCTTTGTTGTTTTTAAATGTTGTAAAGCACTTTGCGTTGTTGTTGCACATGAAAAGTGCTATACAAATAAAATTTGATTGATTGATTGATATGCAGCTGGCATGCGATAGCCAAAAATCCAAACATACCATCGAAAGTTCAAGTCGCCATCTTCTACATCTGCATTTGAAGGCATCGCGTAATATGTGAACGGCGACATACCTGTGCCCTCGTTCATACAATCGCATTATGCACGCTCAGACGGGACTTACCGAGGTCCATGTCGGACGCTTTCGGCCGTTGCGAATAGGGGCTGCCTTTGTACACGGCGTCGAGCAGCTTCTCTTTGACCTGAGTGATGGTGTCACAGTTCAGACACTTGACCGTCACTTCAGGCGCGTTCTCATTCTCTGGGTTTACGCAGTGCAACGTCTGGCAGGGGAAAAAGAAAAACAAATAGGTACAAATAGAAACAAAGGAAACTGAAGCAGACAAAAGAAATTAAGCACAATCAGGGAAAGGACGGTGCCAACTGCTGAGATGTCTGAATGGTTGTTTAGGTGCATTTGAATGTACCTGACAGCATTTTCACACCTAGTTTGTTTGCTGCAGCTATTTTAAAACCTGGACGTTTTCCTGGTCCGCTTAGACTGTTTGGGTACATAATAACTCGGCTTTCACACTTGGGTGCGGACCAAAACAACCGGAGCCGACCCTGCCGACGAGTAGGCCTCGTCTGCATGTTTCCAATCCAAACCTGAAGTGCCTCGAGTGGACGGACAGCACGGTTACCACTGGGCCAGATCACAAGTGGACACTGAAGCTGTGTTTGTGCAGTCAGAAGACTCCGGACTAATTAGGAGAAATGGTGTCTCTGACTTTTTTTTTTTTTACACATGATTAGCTGGAGTTTAAAGTTTCCCCTCACTGTCAGATGTGACTAAAGCTCAACATTCAGACCACACTCTGGCCCGGCAGATGAAACGGGCCTCAAGACACAGCACGTTTACTGACCAGCGTTTTGTAGTCAATCTGTTGCCTGATGAGCTTGTCCTCACTCAGAGAGTAGCGGGCTTCTCCTGTGATGGCGTCGATCGGCCCCTTCTCCATCTGCTGCTTGATGGCACAGTAAAGCATGAACAGAGGCTCCCCGGCGCACTCCTGGTGACGGAGAAGGCAGAAATAAACCAAGTTATCCGCAGTTCAAGCTGATTCTCCATTCATGGAGTCTTTTATTTGAGTAATTGTGGGAGTTTTTAAGGGGGTATTCTGTCTTTCATGACAAAAAGAAAAGATGTTTTTTGTGTCATGGCCTCTTTGAAGAAAACACAGAGAAAAATGTGTTAAAATTCTTCTTCTGTAAAATGAGCTACTAACAACTGAAATTTACAATATATTAAAAATCCATCTCCGCACAGTGGGAGGTTATTATGACAAAAGCCAAAATACCGTTTTTTTTAATTAGGGTCCGAGCACACCAGTGCAAGGACCCTATTGTAACCCTTGTGATTATTATTATTAATATTATTATGGTACGCAAACTTTGAACGCGTTTTTGAGGACCTAAACGTGCTCGAAAACTCACCAAAATCACCATGCACTTCAGGACTGGCGGAAATCGGAAACTATCAGAGATGTGGACATGTCACTGCCAAAATGGCTCCACAGCGCCACCTTGAACATTTCGCCGGAGTCCTGTCGGAAGCACGTTTGCCCTAGCGCTATGCAATTTCAAAGGCATATAGAGCTGGTCAGCACGAACAAAAAACTCTCCCTGCTCCAAGCTCTAAAATGCAACATGGCTCAACAGCGCCCCCTACAATATTTCAACAGGGTCCCATCGTGGCTACGTTTCACCTACTACTACAAAACTCGCCACACATGTGTAACAACTCGTGCCGCACAAAAAAGTCCATTAGCATGTTTCTGTAAACCCAACAGGAAATCCGCCATGTTGGAAAAACCGCGACCATTTTTCGTAACTAGGCCACACTTGCTCCGATCTGTCCCAAACTCCACATGCCGGATCACAGTCCCGGCCGGAGCAGGTTTGCGCCACACCCCGCCGTGCGCGAAGGTCGACAAGCGTAGTGCGAGGACCCGTCCATCGCCGCTTGCGGCTTTAATTGAAATTGCATCTTTTTTTCTCCAATGTTGGTGCTATGCCCAATCCTGCTAAACATGGAGGATTTCTACAGAGATGTTCTTCTTTTTAACAGATGCTGGAGGGGTTGTGTCGCTCCTCCTTTCTCTTTAAAACACCACCAAAAGTGCTCCGTTGGATTCAAGTCAAGCAACACACTTGTCCAGGTTCACTTCTTCAGAAACTCTTGTGTGATGTTGGCAGTGTGTTCTGGACTCTCCTCATGCCTGAATATTCCTCTTCTGCACAGTTGGGAGCGATCTTCGTATTTTGGTATCCAAAGACATTAACGGTGCCATCTTTAAACGTCATCCCCCCCCAACACCTTTTGCACTAACGCAGCCCCGTATTATCACACTCCCACCTCAGTGCCTTACTGTTAGGACTACTCTGGTAGTCCTGGGCGGGTTGACGCCAAAACATGCCGGACCTCATCTGAAATTTATCACGGTTTCAAAAAAATGCGCTTCCAACAGCCACCGGGCTCCTTTTTCATGTTATTTAGCAAAGTTTCGTCGTGCAGCAGCTTTCTGCCGAATGGCAAGCGAGGGTGTTTTTCTGGGAGTGCGTCCATTGAAGTTGACTTTATGCAACGTCCTTCGCTCTGTCTGAGCTGTCACAGAAACTCAGATCTCCATCACGCCAAGTCTGAAGCACTTGGCTGTCTGTCTCTCAGCGCTAGATTGTGCAAGTACCACGCTGTCCATGGCATCGTTTTTGGAGAAAACCACTGTCGCTCTGATTAAAAACGACTCATTCTGTCCCTCCTGATTACTGCTGCAACTGTGTTTTTCACTTGATCTTCCTGTATCCTTTTCCACCTTTGGGAAGTTTTACAGTGAAGCTCGTTGCAGACAGATGCAGCCGGATTGGCCCAAAGCTGAGAGCGTTCTGATGATCAGAGGTCATTTTATAACCACGATCGTGCAGTTCGACTGATTGGAAATCACGTTTCCTCGGTTTTGTTTCAGCGATCACACGTTCAGTCACTTTTGTTGCGTTGAAAATCAAATTTTTTTCTAGTTTTTAAAGAAAAAACATTCTTTCTTGTCAACTTAAGATCCGAATGATTCAAAACACTACCACCTCTCAGTAATTGCATTAAGTGATACTGCACAGGGGTGTATCCACGTCTATTGTGTACTGTACTACGACTACAGCTCACCTGATTAGCATTAAATGTTGCGGCTACGGTCCAATAACACACATTGCTTGGTGTGTGTCGTCTGGAAAGCAATCAGCCGAAAACGTTTTTCTGTTGCACAACTTAGAATATTGATTAGTAAAAAAAAACACTTTGGAAGTGTGTATTCATCCTGCAGCAGGAAGAGGAAGCTGAAAATAGCTTGACGTTGTCGGCTTAACAAAAAAGTGACATAAAAAGCGTTCTGCTTAAACTCGATCGTTTCTCTGAGAGAAATAACGGCTGCAATCAAAGGAAAATCACGTGAAAAAAAATCACACGTCGCATGACCGGAGCGTCGTCTTCTGTACGAACGCTTCCCTCTGACTCGCCTCACAGTCCCTCCGTCTGTGTTGGATAAAATAGTGCCACCGATTTTACATCTAGTTTCCCCAGACGTTAAATTTCAGATGCAATTTTCTCTGCCATGGTGAGCGGTCTGAGGTGATAAATCAGGTGCGGCAGCTGCTTTTCTCTCTCTCTCCTTCTCTTCTTTTCCTCCCATATCCACTCCCTCGTCCCATATTTTCTACCTCCGAACGCCTTAAAATACATGAAATCAAACATGCAACTTTTAGCTCTGCTGCTTCTCCTCTATGCTGCACAGCGGACCCTCGGAAAGAAGGAAGTTTGACTGTTTAGTGCATGAAAAAGGGAAATAAATCCTGAGCAAATACATCCTATGCTGTGTGTTTTAGCAGCAGCACTTAAACGAGCTATTAGCAAAGGACGTACTTTAGCCGATTCCCACGGCTCCATGTGAAGGAGTCCAAACTTAAAGTTGCCAAGATTTCCGCTGTACGTTCTCTGCTGGCAAAAACAACCCTCACCGTGTCTCTAATGTGGATTTTTTTTTTTTTTTTAGGGTTTAAGATATGGTAAGAAAAACAGCTGCAAGCATAAAAGAATAAAAGAAAATATGCTCCGTAGCCTGCATAACTTTCTGCTCCATCTCCTGATAATTGAATCCTCCCTTACTTCCTTCCTAAAACCTCTAAAACATTTAAAATCAGACTGGCATAAAAAAGGAGCCATCTTGGGCCTTAAAAATCTTCTCGAAATTATGTTTCGCAAAAATGAACACTGCAACGCCTTTCATTCTGGAGGAAGGCTTATATAAATCTTTTCAGTCCCTTTTTTTTTTTTCCCCCCGCCGCAGTTGAGCTTTTGTGACCAGACACAGATGTTATAAATATGTTTCCCACTCTCCACCTCCATCAAAGACACTTGCCAATCAATAGTGTCATTAGTCATCACTTGGGCCCAAGGAAAACACTCCCGACTGAAGTAGCAGCAGTTTAGAGGGGAGAGAGAGGACACATCACGGCCAATACTCATCCTGACGAGAGTTTAATGATCGACCGCGCGGCGCTCAGGGAGATACTTCAGCGTGTGTGTGTGTGTGTGTGTGTGTGTGTGTGTGTGTGTGTGTGTGTTGGAGATGCATGAGGTCCAGATGAGAACAGGGGAAAGTACTAATTTATCTGTCTCACCTTCAAGCACACTCAACAGCTCGCTTCTTCTTTCTAACGCGCACATTTCTCCTTTTTTTTTCTTTTTTTCCTTTCTCCCTGTAATATCCTCAACACTTTGCTGTCATTTCATCTCCCGTCTCTACTTCTTCACTTTCCGTCTCTCGCGGCGTTAAAAACATCCCCGTGGAGAATCGTCTGAATGTCAAATGTTTGCAGATTCTATCACCTCTAAATAACTGCATGATTGCGCGGAGTGTTTCGTCTCAACAATCGCGAGGTGTATTAAAAAACACAAGCCTCCGCTATCACCTGAGAACCTGCGAACGTGGTTATGAAACGAGCTGTGAACTTTCGGAGTTCTGCGGCTCGAGGCTATGTTTAGCTGCATGTCTGCATCATGGCTCCGCAGTGGGAATAACAGCCTGAAGAATTAAAAATAAACCTGAATGCGAGACTTTACACAGATGGGACTGGACGTTGGAAGATCTGTGAGAGAACGAGCAGTACCACTAATCAGAGCTCCTAAAATGCCATCATGGACGGTGCACTACTTGCACCATGAACCTTTTTTCCAACAGTGGGGCTTCAGATGTGGCACAAGGAGTGATGAAAGGAAACAAAGGAGTTGCTGTGACAACTGTGACAGTGAAAAGGTTTTTGCATGTGATAAGCTTCTGTACAACAAACACATCCTCCTCGCTTGATCTTTGGAGAAAAAGAAACTGCAAGACGAGATGTTGCTGAAGGACAAGACGCCTCATGGATTTTGGGGTCACACTCTTTGGTCAAGACGGGGTCCAGCATGGACCTGGTCAGGAGTG